CAGATTTCAGAGAAGTGCAGCATAAAGAACAACCCAGAAGATATAAAGATGCAAGAAATAGAGTAGTCGAGTCTCTCTCTCTCACACACACACAGAGGCGGAGACAGAGAGACAGAGAGCTTTCAGCATGTGCTTGAGGTTAAAGATACAGTAGGTCTTTATGACCTTGATGATAAAAATGTCTCACTAAGAGGACAGAACTTCAACATCAGTGACATCAAGAAGCTATGGAGAGATAGATCCGTGGTTAAGAGTACTTACTGCTCTTTCTGAGGACCCAGGTTCAATTCCTAGCACCACATGGAGGCTCACAGTGGTCTGTAACTCCAGTTCCAGGGAATCCAGCACCTTGTACTGGTCTGTGCAGGGACCAGGCATGTATGTGGTTTGTGTACACATATGCAGGCAAAGCACTCCCTTATGTAAACTGAAAATAAATTAAAAATGTACAACTGTTCATCATGCCTCATTTTTTATTTCCTAGAACATGAGAAAAATAAACTCTATTTTGAGCAAAATTGCATTTTTTGATGATCTTACTGCATAAAAATACATAAATTATGAATTTTGTCATTTTATGAGCCACAGAAGGTATGGTAAGAACACTTACTCCTTTATTGCATTTGAACCAGGTATATTATAAATAAAAAATTAGTCATCTGTATAATTTAAGTTCTCTTTTTAAAATCAGTGGTAACCTATAAACTAACAAGTTGTTAATAAAGCATTGTGGTAATATATCAAGCTACACCACTCATTCATCTAAAAAAGGGACTTTTTTGAGATGGGGTCCTCACTATATAGTCCCAGCAATCTAAGTAGAACAAGCTGGTCTCAAACTTGCAGTAATTCATCTTCTTGCTTTTCCTTTCTTGCCTTTGTTATTTGAAAAGCCAAGGCTTCCAATTCTTTTATTTCATTTATTTATTCATTCACTTGTGTATGTATAAATGCTTGGGTGTGGAGGTCGGAGGACAACTTGCAGGCATTCCTTCTGCTGGTTCTGCTGGTATTGGTTCTTTCCTTCCACCGGGGGCTCAAACTACAGCCATCAGGCTTGGTGGCAAACAGCAAACATCTTTACTCTCTGAGCCATGTCACTAGCCCTAAAAACTCAAGTTTTTGTGAAGATGTTTCATTCACCTTTTCCCAAGACAGGCATTGTGGGTTACACCTGTAATCCTAACACTTAGGATACTGAAGATGGAGGATGATCTTGAGTTTTCAGTCAACCCATGATGCTGGCAAAATCTTACCTTAAAAAGAAACATGGAGCCAGTAGGTGGTGATGCACACCTTTAATCCCAACACTTGGGAGGCAGAAGCAGGACAATCTCTGGGTTCGAGGCCAGCCTGGTCTACAGAGTGAGTTTCAGGACAGCCAGGGCAATACAAAGAAACCCTGTCTCAAAAAAATCACCCCCTGCCCCCCAAAAAAAATTATGGAAAAAATAAAAAGAAAGAAAGAAGGCTTCTCATTTTCCATGCAAAATTTCCATGCCAGGAAAATGTTGAAACAAACATGATTAGAAAAAAAGATTTTGAGCAAATTTTATTTTCTCCAACTGATCCTGTTAAGGAGTCATTAAGCCAATTGAGGGGATGATTAGGTACATGGTTAATTAGGTTTGTATTAAGGCAGATTAGGAAAATACTCTTCCTTATATATGAGACCCTGTCTCAAAAATAAAAAAAAATATTCCCTATTTTCCAGATCTGGAGTAAAATCTTTTGTTTCATCCCTGTTACTGGTACTGGTAATTTTTTTTAAAATTAATCTCTCTCTCTCTCTCTCTCTCTCTCTCTCTCTCTCTCTCTCTCTCTCT